ATTATCTCCATTGGCATAAAAATTCCTGAAAGTTTGCAAGTGTCCCAAAATCAGTCGCAGACCAGCGAAATGAACTCTGGTGGGTCGCTAGAAGTCAAAAATGTCATTATCTCCATTGGCACCACAGATTCCTGAAAGTCTGAGAATGTCCCAGAATCAGTCGCAGACCATTAAAATGGACTCTGTCGGGTCCCTAGAAGTAAAAATTGCCATCATCTCTATTGGCAAAGTCTGCGAGTGTCCAGCAATACGCTGCAGGCCAATGAAATGGACTCTTAAAGGTCCCTAGAAGTCAAATATATGATTATTTCCATTGGCACCAACCATTCCTGAAAGTCTGCGAGTGTCCGAGAATCAGTCGCAGACCAACAAAATGGACTCTTTAGGGTCCCTAGGAGTCTAAATTGTCAATATCAGCATTGGCACCAAAATTCCGGAGAGTCTGCGAGTGTCCATCAAAAAGTCGCAGGACAATGAAATAGTCTCTTAAAGGTCCTTCGAAGTCAAAAATATAATTATTTCTGTTGGCACCAAAAATTCCTGAAAGTCTGCGAGTGCCTCAGAAGTGCCTAGAAGTCGAAATTGTCAATAAAACGTTGGCAACAATAAATCCTGGAACTCAGAATCAGTCTGCCAGCTGAGCATTCCAGCAGCGCTTATTAATACTATAATTCAGAATGCACCGCAAGATTGTTTATCCAACACAGCATGTTCACACTATTTTTCAGAATGTTTTGCTAGGTTGCCTAGCCAGCTTAGCATTCCAGCAAAGTTTTTTTACACTATATTTAGTAATGCTCTGCTAAATTGCCAAGACAGCTGAGCATTGCAGCAGAGCAATTTCTCATTTTATTTAGGAATGCCCTGCTAGATTGCTTAGCCAGCTTAGCATTCCAGCAGAGCATTTTTACACTATATTTATTAAAGCCCTGATAATAATTTCTGAAGTTTTTTACTTTCTTGAATATAATAACAGTACTGTTTCAGTAGTGATTTCAATAGATTGGATTTAAAAGGATTATCTTGGACAATATTGTATACTTGGATTATTATACCATTATTTAACGATCATGAGTGGAAATAAAAAGGAGCAATCAAAATTGACATTCAATGGTAGCCAGAAGGCATCAACAAAACCTCAAGTGAAAAAGGTTTCAGCCAGATACTAGTAACAACAGCAAAAAATAGTATGGATGAACTAAAAAATATAACAGAAAAGTTAGATTTCAATGAACAAAAACATAGCTGAATTGAGGGGGGATCTCAAAAAGTATTCTCAAGAAAGATGAGGGTGAAAAATTTGATAAAAACTCAGTCACCAACATTGTGACTAGCTTAGAAACGAAGTTGCAGGCACATGTTTCTACCCTTGTTAATGAAAGAACAAAATATCTAGATGATAAAATAGAAAGTCTTGAATTTGAAAACAACTCCCTGAAAGAAAAACTTTCTGATCTTGAAAATAAAACTGCAGAAAAATTACGAGATTTTGAAGAAAAAATTACCAAAAATTACAACGCTAGCATGGAAGCAAAATTAAAGCCCTGCTAGATTGCCTAGCCAGCTTAGCATTCCAGCAAGGCATTTTTTCACTATATTTAGGAATACCCTGCTAGATTGCCTAGCCAGCTTAGCATTCCACCAGAGCATTTTTAAACTTTATTTTGTAATGCCCTGCTAGATTGCCTAGCCAGCTGAGCATTCCACCAGAGCATTTTTTCACTAAATTAAGGAATGCTCTGCTATAGTGCCTAGCCAGCAGAGGCATTCCTGAAGAGATTTAAACACTATAATTTAGTTATGTCCTGCTTGATTGCCTAGCCAGCTTAGCATTTCAGCAGAAGCATTTTTACACTATATTTCGTAATGCTCTGCTAAGATGCCTAGCCAGCTTAGCATTCCCCATCAAAGCATTTTTACACTTTATTTTAGGTAACGACGCTGCTAGAATGGCCTAGCTAGCTTAGGCAATCCCAGCAGAGCATTTTTACACTTATATTAAGGGTAATGCAATGCTAGATTGCCTAGCCAGCTTTAGCAAAATCCAAAGAAGAGGCATTTTTCCACTATAATTTAGGAATGCCCTGCTAGATTGCCTAGCTAGCTTAGCATTCCCCCCAGAGCATTTTTAACTATATTTTGGAATGCCCTGGTAGATTGCTTTGGGCCAGCTTGAAGCAAATAGCAGCAGAGCATTTTTACCACTATATTTTTGAATGCCCTGATAGATTGCTTAGCCAGCTTAGCATTCCAGCATGAGCTTTTTTCACTTTTAACTAGGAATGCTCTGCTAGATTGGCCTAGCCAGCCTTAGCATGTCCAGAATCCGGCATTTTTACACTTTATTTATGTAATGTCCTGCTAGATTGCCTAGCCAGCAGAGCAAATTTTTACAACTTTATTTACTAATGCCTTGCTAATTGCCCAGGCCAGCTTAGCATTCCCAGCAGAGCATTTTTTCACTAATATTTTAGTAAATGCCCTGCTAGATTGCCTAGCCAGCTTAGCATTCCAGCAGAGGCATTTTAACACTATATTTAGGAATGCCCTGATAGATTGCCTAGCCAGCTAAGCATTCCAGCAGGGTCGGCATTTTAAACACTATATTTAGTAATGCACTGCTAGATTGCCTAGCCAGCTGAGCGTTCCACAGCAGAGCATTTTTTCACTAAAGCTAGGAATGCTCTGCTAGATTGCCAAGACAGCTGAGTATTGCAGCAGAGCATTTTTACACTATACAGTGTAACTTCCGAATTCCGGAACTTCTGAAATCTGGAAACTTCTAAAAACCGAACAATTTTTTCGGTCCCGATTTTTTTGTCCCTTCTATTTTCTATTAATATAATACTTCTGAATTCCGGAACTTCTAAATTCTTAATTCCGGACGATATTTTCGTAAAATTAGAGTCAAATCAATGTAATTTTACCTCCAAAAACACGGCAAATATCCAAAGGTGTGAATACATTGTAAATCGAGAAATGTTACCCTGGCAAGGAAAAGATTTTAATCTCCCTATCGATTGTTTACTAATTAGGTGATCGTGTAATTTGGACACGCCGTTAAAATCACAAACTGTGAAATGGTATGTTTGAAAGTGATGCGGTTTAATTAAAGTTAATATAACGGCGGGTCAGTTAATTTGAAAAGTGTTTTATTAGCGGATTAAATGACAATTAATTGGGACCAATGTTATGCATCAAACGTCTTTAGGGGATTTTATTGCATTTGATGTAATAATTAATTAACTAGCGTCGGACAATATGTAAGTTTATGCAATTGACATTTCTACCCAAACTGATAAGAAATTCAAAGGCATTTGCAGGTAAGATAAAAATGTATTCTTTTTCAATTCACATCTTTTTTTTGATTAAAAGGGGGCCTATCATTTATGATTTAAAAGTAAAAGGCCACATTTCCTTTTTACATTTTGTGGCCCTTTGTTTTCCAAAAACCCTTTTTTTTAATAACCCCCCTGAAAAATTCCGGAAACCTCTGAAAATTTCCGAAAAATTTTTTACAAGTCCCATGGGTTTTCGGTTTTTAAGAAATTACACCCCGTTTTTTGGAATGGGGCCCTTTTCTAGATGCCCAAAAAAAGACCAGCTTGCATTACAGCCCGATCTTGACTTTTCCCCATATAAATTAAAAAGCCTTTTTTTCTTAGCTCACTGTTCCCCCTGCTAAAATTCTCCCCATTTTCTAAAAAAATTTTTTTCTAGTTTATTTTAAAATCGAATGCAAAAATCATTATCTCATTCTGTTAGCTTTAAAGCCATTTTTATACTTTCAAAGTTAAATTGTGAGCAGTTGATAATATGCGTTATTTGACTACCTTTGTACTTTACATTCTTTGTAAATCACGTTTTGTTAATTTATTTTCATCTTATATATCGTTGTCTACACAACTGAATGTCTACACATGGTTGTATGCGAATTTATTGATATTCTAGCGCACCCACCTGGCCCAAAGGAAGACGAAAATGCTTTCATCAAAATTGAATAAAGAATACGTTTTAAAAGGGAACATTTGCATTGAATTTCATAGAAACTGAAATAAAAAGCGAATAATACCGCACCTAAAACTACATGTTTTATGTTTTTCTGAGTTTATTTTACACATAGTGTTCATTGAACATAAAATATAATAAAAGAAAAAAAGTCACATTTTTAATCTGTGCATAGATTTAGGAACCATATTAGAGAAATATGCAGACAATTTTGGATTTTCTTTTCTTGATATTTTTAAAGATTTTTTTTCCAGAAAATCAACTCAAAAATCTTTACTTACATTGTGATCAACCTATAATTTGATTATTTCTGATATGTAAAAACTTTTTATATAAAAATAAAAATAATTCGTGATACACATTGTACAATAAGAAAATATAACAAATTTGCATAAAATGGGCTGCCAAATTGGACGCCATTTTGAATACTAAAGAGGTATGAAAGCAGAATTTTGTATGATTTATTTTTTTTTGTAAATGATATTCTTAATACAAACTTGCATTTGGTTAAATATAAATTTCAGATCGGTTCAAAAAATGACTGAATGAGCTATTACATACGTCAAAATTATATTGAGGTCATTTCGAAAATGGCGGCCGTCTTAAATGAGCAGAGATATTTTGGGTGAAGAAGTTTCAAGCTTGTATCATCATTTGCACTATTTTTTAACTCCCGAACCACTAAAGATTTAATTTTTGATTTAAACATATTTTATTGCCAAAAATAAGACATATACATACATGTAGACAGTTACAATACAATGACATGACGTATTTGGCAAAAGGGTTGACCCACAAGTTCTCTCAACATTAGCAACGGGTCTTCCCTGAACCACTAAAGCTACATACATTTAAGATGCTAGGATATGTTTGATAAACAATAAGCATCTCATTTGGTTATCAGACTTGCAAAGAATATAAACAAAGAAATTGGTTAAACACTAATTTAGGATACAATTTAATTGAAAATGTTATTTTTATTGACGTTTTAGGAACAATTCAGTACATTTGGACTCTCCCTGGTGAAAACGACTTCTATGATGATAGGCGAGATCGATTTTGGAGCCACATTTTTTGAAGCAAATGTGAATTTTGAGATGATAAGCTTCGTATTTTATTACATTTTTGTGTTGCTAATGACAATAGTCGTCATTAATCTACTGGTATGTTTTTTTTTATATTAGTCAAACATATACCATATGCCAGGAGCAATAATAACAAATTTATATATATGATATATACGTTCAAAACTAATTGGAATATTTAACAAATATATTCCATGGTGGGTTAAACATTGAAATACGAGTTGTTGCGTCGCTTGTGTTACTAAAACTACACAATTATTTGGTTTAAGCTCGATTGCGACACAAATTCTTGCAACTCATATTAATCACTCGAGTCCGCTTCCTGGAACGAACCAGTACTGGTGTCGTATGAAGAAACATGGTCGTTTCCTGGATTGAGAGGCAGACACCTTAACCACTAGGCCATCGCTCCTCTTTATGTTATGTAAAACATCAATATGTGTCTTTTGAACCATATTCATCTGTTTTTTTTATATTAACACAATATTCTTTTTCTTTCTAATTGTTAGACCTGTAATTACATATTACTTTATTAAAAAAAAAAAAGATTAGTAATCATAAATGCTTTCAATCTTTATAATTATTTAAGGTTGGTTTGGCTGTGGCAAATATACAGGAATTTGAGAGGAATGCCGGTCTTACTAACAGAAGAATGCAGGTCAGTTAAAAAAGTTATTTGAAATTAAGCCATGTTAGTGTCATGTGACTGTACAGAAGAACATTAGTGTTAGGTGTTTGTTTTTATTAACTCGAAATTTCGAGTTACTAACTCGAAATTTCGACTTACTTATCTCGAAATTTCGACTTACTAACTCGAAATTTCGACTTAATAACTCGAAATTACGGCTTATTAACATTACTAGAATGGCCAAAGTTATGAGTTACCAAGAGTTCAGATAACATAAGATATAGTAGGGAGTGCGGTTGAACGATGGAGATGGAGAAACGGGTGCCTTGACAAACTTATATCTTATATACCGGGTATCTTATATTATCTGAACTCTTGGTAACTAATAACTTTGGCCATTCTAGTAATGTTAGTAAGTCGAAATTTCGAGATAAGTAACTCGAAATTTCGAGTTAACAAAAACATACACCTGGCACTAATGCTATTCCGTACATGTGTCATGTCGTTTTCTCTAAAAATGTCTCTTCGCGCATTTAATTTGAGGTGTTATAGTCCTGGTTCTAAAGGCACGGTTTTTTCTGCCAAACGCTTGATCAATGACCCGGTGGAATAAAGGGATTACTCTTCTTTGTGTGTGCATGTATTTATGCACGTGCACCAGCGTGTGCGTGCGTGTATTATATAGATTAAATAATGAACTGAAATAAAACCATATTGAAAATTATAACCCTGGTGTCGTTTGGTGAAAGGTTAGGAAGTGGTTCAAAGGTATTCAATTCCATATGAAATCTGGTATGGCAACAAACAAGAATAATAGGAAGAAACTTAAATTTCTTTTTACCTAAAACGACATGAGTTAAAGCGTTGATATTTTGCACAAGACTTTGTCTGGTAGACCTCTAACGTGTCTTGTGGACCTCTACCAAGATTGTTGAAATTTTGTCCCACCACGATGGTCTTGTGTTTTCTTTAAAAATATATTTTACAGTTAAAATTAAAATGCGTGATACTAAGATTCTCTTCTTTGAAACCATAAGGGCTAGAGCTTAGATGTTTTGCATAAAACATTGTCTAGTAGACCTCCAACAAGGATGCACATAAAATAACATTGGGATTAAAGATATTTAGTAAAATGTTTAAAAATCTTTTCCCCCAAACCTAAAATGGGTAGAGTCAAGTAATTAGGCAAGTACCATTGTCTACTCTAATGAACTGATACCAAAATGTTCCGATTTTATCCCTTCGGCCAAAATAGACATTTTCTCACGGGTTATACGTTTCTCCTATATTTACGAACGTATAGTAAAAGTTTAAAATCTTCTCATGCAAAACTACAAGAGCTAGAACTTAGATATTTGGCATAGATTATTGTCAAATAAACCTCTGATAAGGTTGTTCAAATTATTGCCCAAGGGTCAGAAATTGTCTTGCACTTGCACTTATTAGTGTTCCTTTATAAACAGTCTTTTAGTAGTATTTTTATACTAAATCAATTACAATGAAGCATTTTCGAGTGGTCCTCTATTAAGGCTGTCAACAAATTGCTCTCATGTCAAAATTGGACCAATCCAGCAAGGAAGGAGATATTTGGATTTTTATATGTTTAATTCAAAATATTCTTTTATGCCATTGGTGGGATTAGCGTTTATGCAAGGTTCAACAATAGGATAAAACTGTAAATTTCTCTTGTGCTTACAAGTGTCCCAAAATTGTTTAAAATAGATACTGTTAATAATTTAAAAGTTATTTTGAAAAGTGAAATGACCAAGATTAAATTAAACTAATTAAAGAATATGCGAGGCTGAAGGTTTGTCTTGAATTAAATAAAGATCATTTGCAAATAAAATTTGTATAATGATCGCTAACAAATATCATCAAATGAACACTGCCTGTTCTCTTTCCTACCAATAAAGTCAGAAGCAAGAGTACATCCTTAGTATGTGAATTATATAAGAATTCATTTTAAATGTGTGACCTTATGTTTTTATTAGTTGCTGGTAGGTTGATCATTCATTTGAACAGTAGAAACGGATTATTATGAAAGATAATGCGAGAATAACAGTCTAACATTGTTAATATAAAATGTTATATGCCTTCAAGCAACTGCGATTATTGGCATTTAAAATGATTATGTCATGCTGCATTCTTACCATGTACAGAGAAGTTTTGTGCGCTTTCTTTCAACTCATTATATCAGTTTTATCATAAATTCTTTGCCCATTTTTAAATATTCCAACGAGTTTTGGACATTATGATGATTTTTTATTGTTAACCTCTTTAAAAGGCAAATTATGCCTCAGTAGCCTTTTTCACAAAATAGTTTACGACAAACTCCTATTACGATACATCTTTTCACAAAATATCTAAAGACAAGAAACATCTCAATGCGACGAAACCAGGTTTTCAACATTAACAATTCAAAAGAGCTTTGTCAACAAGTGCAATGTCGCATACTTTGAGCATTTTTTAATTGAAATATTTATGTAGAATTATGGACTTTTTAATTTTCTGCATATATAATACACAGATGAACATTAATTTGTATCTTTCATAGTTCTACAGAATTGGTCTGAAATGGTAATTGTATGTAATTAGATGCACATTATTAGAAACAAAAAACTTAGGTACAAAATGTTTGTCATTGTTAAGGAACTATTACGGTGATATTATATTATGTATGACGAAGGTATGTATAAGTTTTCATTCTTAAAGAATAGCTTGAATAGTAGACCTGTACACAGACAAGTATTTCTGTATGAATTGAATATGTGGAAAAAGGGTCATAACTCTGTAAATTCTGTTTAAATTGTAAAACAACAACACTTTGGGCCAAAATACTATAAGGCCAGAACACTTTATGAAAGAATAATATGGAAAAAAGTTTCACACAGTTTATTACATGAAAAGTTCGATCTTGATACACACGATAGCACATATTTCTTTCTTTCATGTAAAAATCAACGCAAAATAGTGTTTTTTGATAAATTTGAGATGTCCCGTCGTTGCCATGATAACAGGAAATTTAAAGGCCATGGTCCAGTCAACATTTGTGTTTAGTTTTTAAAGTATTTGAATTTTGGAAAAAAAAATCTTTTTCCCTTTGTTTCCCGAGCAATTTTAAAAACCCTTTAAACAGGAGGTTTTCCAAAAAGGAAAAAAAGCCATTTTTTAAAAAGGGGAATAAAATATGGAAATTTAAATAAGGTTTTAAATGTACTGAAAAATAAATTTTTTAAAAAAATTTTGAAGTGATTTTTAAAATTAATAAATGTTAAAAAAAGAGTTATTATCTTGTCGAATCTTAGAGACTTAGCGTTTTCATTGTAAAAAATAGATTTTTCAAAAAAAACAAAAAACTTAACAGCAGTAGAAATCCTTTAAACCCTAAACTCGAAAACTTTTTTAAAAATTAATTGTGTTAAATTTTTTTCAAAAAAAACAATGAAAAGTTCGAAACTGGGTACACACGGGGTAGAAAATTTTTTTTTCATTTTAATTTGGAAAAAATTTACGGAGAACGTGAATGCCACATTATTGTATTCTTTTTACCCTAAATCTCCAAAATTAGCAAACTAAATACTAGTGATGTGTTGGATTTATAAATTCACCTAGGCTGAATCCTTAAAAGTCCGTCGTCCGTCCACATTTACTTTGTTAACACTCTTGTGGTCAAACTTTTGCCTCGATTGTCATCAGTCTTGGACAGGTTGTTTCAAATTGACTAAGTCATTGCTTAAATGAATTCAAACATGTGTCATCTCTGATGAAAAACTGGGTCAAAGGAGTTAAGAAAGAAAAAAAATGTTTAAGACTCTATAGGCTACCGATCCGGTCCAGATAATGTACTGGACATTAATCAGGAAGATAATTTTGATGACTTATAGGGATTTTAAGGTCAGGCTGGAATATGGGTCATCTATGATAAAAAACTTGGTTACATAGCCAAAATATGGGAAAACCTTGTTCACATACTAGCAACTATTGTTTCAGTCAATATTTCATGACAATCGTTCAGAAAGATTGTAATGATGATCATAAGGTCATGTTTGAATATGGATTACCTTGGTTTAAAAACTAGGTAAAACATACCAAATATGTAAACTATTGTAAACACTCAAGAGGCTATTGTATTGACCCAAATGTTACATGGGGTCAAAAATTAGGTACACACAGCCCCAATGTGGAAAAACCTTGTTAAAACTTTCAAGGATATTGTTTCAGTACAAATATCCTGACAAATGTTATGCAATCGGAACAACCTCGGTTATTATGTATAACAACCTGGGACTGAATACGAATTGTAAGTAGGTCTACAATGTTGTTTTTGATGTAAACAAAAACAAAGGGAGTGATGTTTGATTATGTATAACAAATGTATAAAGTTGACATCCAAGGGTAAATAAAGTCTATTTCGTTAAAATTATAATTGAAAATATGTCTGACATTCATAATAATTTAAAAACGCCGACTGATGTCTATTTAAACCAAATCCGAATTAACGTCAACAGGTAGACATATTCACCGTGATATCCAGTAACGGCGGTTTGTGAAAATAACGCAAAATTCGTGCAAAAGGTAAGGCAGAATAAATGGCAGATACCTGACAGGATTTCCAATGCTGTAAGTAAACTGGCCAATATATGTTTTATTTAACCAAACTGAAAAAAGGAATTACCGCCTACGGCTGCAAAGAAATTATTCTTTATCCCTCATCAATATTATTTCCCCGAAATTACTTACTTTTCAAGATCATTCGTGAAAATGATGTTGTTGCGTACCGCTGTCTCTTGTATGTATTTTATTCTACTAGCATGTATTCGCTAACTCAGAAGAATAGCTCGTCTTGGTATAGAGCTTCTGTATTATATATATATATGACGGAGCTCGGACGGACACCAAGCGATCACAAAAATTCCTAAGATTGGGCTATCAGAGGATGACTCCGCATCAGTTTATTGTAATTTATTTTTGGATGATATATAAAGGGTCTTTAATATAAAACTTCTCAAGTAACAACCAAGACAATTTCAAGTCAACGATGTTTATTTACGGACTCACCGCAATGAACTATATTTTATTCAATCTTGAACAAATGTTGTATAATTATATTGAACAAAGTCTGCTACTTGTATAGTATTAACAACAATCTATATAATTTATATATATCGGGAATTTATATTACTTCGGTAAAATGATGTATATCTCTACCAGTGACGGCTGTTAAAATAATATATCAATTAATATTTCAAATATCGACTTTACCGAAACAACTTTATAAATATAGATCTGTGTGCGTACGTTGTGAGGTGTCGGCAACTTAATACAATAAAATTAACAATAAAAAATATTACTTTAATGGAAATTTCATCTTTAATATACTATACTGTACTAATGTACTCTTTGCAAAATAAATTTATAACAACTGTTTAAACTTACAAAGAACTCTGAAGTTTCTATGCTTAACTTTATGCAACAAATACTCTTTTAGAACAAAAATTATTACTTTAATCTTTATAAATAATGCATAAGTATTTAAGAAAATATGCTATCAAAATTACCAAAGATATAACTTGTAAATAATATCTTAATAGTATCTGAATGAGCTTCTGCTACGAATGTTTTGATCTGAGCGGAGTGACTTCCGACAGGAAAACTGCGCTTTTATAGTCAAGATTCCTACACTGTCCCACACTGTGGGAAACTTTAAGAAAAGTGTAGGAAAGGCTCCTAAAGGATTTCCTACAGATCCAACACCTCCCACAACTTACATTAAAGATAAAAATACAACATAGAACAATATATTTAAACACATATTACATTAAGCTAATAATTATTGGAATTAATAAAAACATGAAACAAGTGAAATACCGTTATTATGTGTAGAGATATGAAATTTTAGAATTAATAAATTAAATATAACCCCACTTTGTACCCCACAGGTAAAGAAAAGTTTTGCACAAGATGATGATGTCATAAATCAACTAATGTGTGACGTCATATTTGTAAGCAAACAAAATGGCGGAATATCAATACAATGGTTACAAGTTAGAATGTTCTTCTTTGAATAGAGGAATAATTAATAAATCTAACGGTAAAATTACTCGTGAATTATAAAGTTAATGTATCTCTTTGACTTTATGATAAACTTTGAACTTAATTAAAAGAGTTTTTATTAATAACTACACTGTTTATTTAAAACAACAGTTCATAAAAATGGGTGGGGAGTGGCACATCACATTACCTCCGCCTCAGAGAGGCAAAGTTCCAACTGCCTCAAGTCAATACATCAGGAATAAAAATGACACGTTTAAGTATCCCCTAGTTCAAAGTTTCTCAATATTTCTTATTGTACGGCATCCACTCTCTGCGCCTATTCCAACCACCGTAGTATCTCGAGTTGTTGTGGTGACCCTTTACGTTAAAGTGTTGGCGTCTACCGACTTCTCTGTTCTCCCCTCTGTTTTCCTTTTCCTCGTTTCTCTTATCCTTTATATTACTCTGTTCTTTCGACACTACTCCTTTCCTCTCTCCTAGACTCCTTTTATCATTTTTTTCACCATTTCCTTCCTTACTCTTTTTAACTCCTGTAACACTCTTTTCTCCTACATCACTCTTTACCTCCTTTCCATCTCTACTATCTTTCTCTTTCTTCAGTTCGGCAACTTCTTTTCTAAGTTCATCAACTGTTCTTTGTAATTTGTTTATCATTTCGGCGTTGGATATAATTTGACTACCAATGATGTTCCCTGTTCTCTTTACCATGTCGCACATTATCTTGCAGAACTTGTTTTCTCTTTTTTCCCTCTCGTCTTCACTTGATGATGACTCATCACTAGATGATGAGCTAGATGATGACGAGCTTACCGATCTGCTTCGTTTTAAAGAATGTCTTACTCTCTCTCTTGATCTCGGCTTACTCACTATGTTGGATTCTTCTGCATTCTGTTCCTCTAATTCTTCTCTACGCACTTCAGAACTTCTCTCTATATCACCAAGTACTACTTCATTATCAATAATCTCATTCCTATTACTATCATCTGCTTCATTCTCAACTTTTTCAACTACTTCTACATCTCTTCTTCTAACTATCCTCAGATCTAATGCCTGCTCTTCGTTCGTTTCAACTCCTACGACTGCCTCCACCACCTCATCTTTCTTCTCCTCCATCTTCCTGCTTACCGTTAAATCAAGCGCTCTTGTTGCTACCCACGTATCATTATCATCATTAACCACGGGTACCTCTCCCAACAAACCCTCCACTGCTCTCTCTGTCTCATTCTCTAAAATTTGAATTTCTGGTGAAGCGACTATATCTGCCTCTTGCATGGCTATTTCCAATATATTATCTTTATTCCTAGGGAACTCTTTCTTCACCCACCAGTTCATACTTTCATCCTTAGACAACATTTCTATGTCTTTCTCCGATACAATGTAGGGGTTCATAGATGATACAAGGAACGGTCTAGAATGTTTTACGCCTTTCTCTATCATAACATTCCTATGCCTAGCATAACTATCGACGTGTGCCAACAAACCATCCCGAGTTCGACTTCTGAACAGACAAAGCCTACACCAGTGCGGCTGCTCATCATTAGAGACATGATACTTGTACACGTGGTCTTCCAAACGCTGCTTGGTGTTGATCTCAGTCTTCCCTTTCTTCTGGCAATGTCTGCATCTATATGCTCTACCTCTATGACTTGCTTTCTCCAGAATACTGCAAAAATAATGGCAATGGTAAGCAAACATTTATAATACGTTGCCATTAAAGTCACCGACACCTCTTTCGCGTGAAATGTTGTTTTCTATTGTATTGCGGATCAATGATCATACATGTATATAAACTTCGCATAATTGACATCTCAAAACGGCTTCTAATTCGACATTTGCTTTGGAAGATAGAAGGTTTTTATGCCCCCGGGCATATAGTGATTGAACCGTCCGTCCGTCCGTCTGTCCGAACGAGGTTAACCTAGAACGGCAAGTTGGATTTTTCTTAAGTTCTACCTGTACCAATGGCTTCTAAGTTTACACACTTACTAATCAATGCAAAGTACATGATCTGGGTAAGTTTCATTACTCTGGCTTTCATAGTTGCCAGGTTATATAACTGTGTCATCCATATTTCCCAGTTATTTCCCTTTTTTTACTTTGAAAATAGGGCCTTGTCTAGTTAACCTATTTCAGCAAGTTGGATTTATCTTAAATTTCTCCTAATTGCTTAATTTCTTTAATGATATCTTTCATATTTAGTAGGTGGATACCTTTGATGGTCCTCTAATTTTTTGTGGAGTAAGCGGACTCTAGGGTCAAGGTCAAGGTCACTGGTTTAAAAAATAAATATAAACATTTTTGCTCATACAGCCTTTATATTTTAGTTGATGTCTTAGTTTTATACAAACATGCCAAGGGAGGTCCTCCTTCTTTGGGTGTAGTAAGGGGTCATTTGGGTCAAGGTCAATGTTACCAATGTCAAGGTCACCAATGTTAAAAATGGATTTTTACATTTTTACAGGTGTATTGACCTTATTCTATAGACAGATATTATTTATAATTGATAGAAACATAAACTTTGATGGAGTTAATGGTCAGTTGGGTCAAGGTCACAAGTGCTAAAAATAGATTTTTACACATTTGCTCATACAGCCTTTATTAAGTGACAGATATATTTTATATTTGGTAGGAAGATAACTTGCATGGTATTCATCCTTTTGATTAGGGTAGAGATCAGTGGGTCAAGGTCACTTGTGCTTAAAATAGATTTTTACACTTTTGCCCATACAGCTTTTATTTATTGACAGATGTATTTCATATTTGGTAGGAAGATAACTTGCATGGTATTCTTCCTTTGGATGGAGTAAGGGGTCAGTTGGGTCAAGGTCAACAGTGCTAAAAATAGATTTTTACACTTTTGCCCATACAGCCTTTAGTTATTGACAGATGTATTTCATATTTGGTAGGAAGATAACTTGCATGGTATTCTTCCTTTGGATGGAGTAAGGGGTCAGTTTGGTCAAGGTTACCAGTGCTCAAAATAGACTTTTACACTTTTGTCCACACAGCCTTTATTTATTGACAGATGTATTTCATATTTGGTAGGAAGATAACTTACATGGTATTCTTCTTTTAGATAGAGTTAGGGGTCAGTTTGGTTAAGGTTCCCAGTGCTAAAAATAGATTTTTACACTTTTGCCCATACAGCCTTTATTCATTGACAGATGTATTTCATATTTGGTAGGGAAGATAACTTACATGGTATTCTTCTTTTGGATAGAGTTAGGGGTCAGTTTGGTTAAGGTCCCCAGTGCTAAAAATAGATTTTTACACTTTTGCCCATACAGCATTTATTTATTGACAGATTTATTTCATATTTGGTAGGAAAATAACTTGCATAATATTCTTCCTTTTGATAGAGGTAGGGGTCAGTTGGTCAAGGTCAATGGTGCAAATTACAGATTTCTACACATGATTGGTTTTCTTCATGAACTGCGATAATTTGCTTGCATCCCTTATTAACAAATTGTTCTTTCTCATCATTTAAAAAAGTGTTAACAATTAATGAAGGCATTTACTAACCGAGTTTAATAACTAAAGAAATAATTTTCGCTGAATTTTTGACATACTTCGCTGAATTGCTGACATACTTCTCAGACAGAAATACATCTTTCACAACATGTTCAATGACTTAAAAGAAAGTAACATCTTCGTGTTTCTATGTACATGTTGAGGTAAGTAAATGATTTATATGTATTTTTAAAAATGCATTCAAATAATGGCTAAAATGGCTGTGGCAACATATAGCACCTTTATTTCTTTTGAAATTTTTTAATAGTATTAATGAATATGACAACCAGACAAAAAAAATGATATAAAATTTTTATACATTAATAAATGTTATATGTTGAAAGGGTTCCATCAAATATACATTTATTGTTTCCACAAATTGAATACTTCAATAAATACTTTAAAATGTCCCCTCATATCCAATTTAAGATCATTATTATTGTAAGCATCTGAATTGTTAAAGTAACTTATAAGCATTGAAAAATACAAATGACTATTTTGTGGAAGCTGTCATCAAATAATATCCTGTCCTTATCTAAATTGTGATAAATTAGTTTTTAATTAATTTATATGATTATTGTTTACCTTGATTTTACATGTGAGTCTCCCAATCAGAGATATATGCTGTCTTTAGTTCTTTTCTTTGTTAAAACAGTTTTTCTTTCTATTTTCAGATAAAAATGAATGAAAACATACAAAAGCAATTAGAAACACTTGACTCTTATGAACTACAACTCTTAGGAGTTGCTTTTAAGGTTCAGCATGGTGACAAGGATGCTAAAGTTAAAGATATCCATACATTAGCAAGAAAGCTAAAAGCAACATCTCAATCACTGAGGAGCAAAATAGAAACCCATGCCCAGGATGATTCTCTGGCTTCATCAATATTAAAAAATGAAAATTCAACAATAAAAAGAAAGTTAAGTCACTTACAAACTGACAATCAGTTTGAAAAGAACAAAGTTAAACGACTACAATCTGCCCTGAAAGGAAATGAAGAGAAAGAAAAGAAATGGAAGGACAATGATGACTTGAATGATTCTGATCTGTTGGAACTTGTGAACTCGTTAGGTAATGAAGCTGCTTCACAACATCCAAATTGAATGCAACTATGCCAAGCCTAAATGCAACCATGCAAAGTGTATCAAATCTCCAAAATGAAGAATCAACTGGAAATTCTAATGTAGAGTGCTGAGCATCTGGCTCCAATAGAGATAATAGGAAGATTGATATTTAATGAGACAATCTTACACTGTGATAACAGTGATAACTTAAAAAGGTTTATCAATTTAGTCACAGAAATACTTCTTTTTCATGCTGCTTATTTTAAAGTCTACCTCTGTTTCCTGTACAGGAGTTACAGAACATTCTTTATTGTTGTGTTTTATAACTTACATATGGGATAGATATGTAAATGAGTTATAGAAAATAACTCATTTTATTCCTTATTGTTATCTTATTAAATTTGTTAATTATATCAAAACTATATCAAAAGAGATAGACAAAATATTAACCCATTTAGATTGATCAAGTTTTTGTTTATGATGAAAAGATGTAAATGACAGGTTGCAACATTTTCAATTTTGCCATTTTGGACTTTCTTTAGGGGTTCCTACTTTCTCTATTTTACAACAATTGTCATCCCTTTTTATTGTGATCAGGTATTTGCTTATGATTTAAAAAATGTTTTACAACAAATGTGACCTTTTATTGTTGTGATCAGGTATTTGCTTACTATTGAAATATTTAAATGACTTAAAATAATTTTCATAGATCAGGTTTTTGCTTAAAAAATTAGTAACTTACAACAAATGTCATCCCTTATTGTTGTGATGAGATAGTTGCTTATGATTTAGAAATGTAAATGGCTTACATAATGTACAACAAATGTCATCCCTTTTTGTTGTGATCAGGTATTTGCTTATTGATTAAAAAATGTTTTACAACAAATGTCATCCCTTTTTGTTGTGATCAGGTATTTGCTTATAATTTAAAAATGTAAATGTTTTACAAGAAATGTCATCCCTTTTTGTTGTGATCTGGTTTTTGCTTATGATATAAAATAATTCTCACAAATATGTATTACAATGTATATTGGTGCCAAAGATTATTCAATAAGGGGTTGTAATAAATAAGCAAATGATTTTATATTACAGATGATTCATGTTAAGATAGTATGTAAGTTTATATATATTTTTTTGTAATTATTGGATGATAATGTGTCTTTTAAGTATCTTCAACAACTTCAATAGAAACAGATACATCAATGATGTTTCTTATTATTTATCTCTCACTGGCACATTTTCATCCTATGTCAAAGCTATTTACAATAACTGTACAGTAATTGAAGTGACTGCAAAAAACAGTAAAGCATTGTTCTGTTTTTAACATTTAAAGCTATGATCATTTGTATAATAATCATTATTTTTGCAGCCAGTGATAAAATATACTAATTCAGCTTATACTAATTCCTTGCTTACAGAAACCAACATCGCAGAGAGAGGTGAAGTGTAATCAAACTTCTAACAATTCACTGCTCTGTTTTTCGATTCAATTTTACCTGATGAAGATGAATTTGTCTTATGTAAAGGTATGCTTGATATTACTTTCTGAAGAAAGATTTGAAATTGTTTTAATGCCTTGATTCATTGATAAAAAAACACAAACATGAAATATATGCACAGAATTTCCAAATTCTTTAATACAAGTTTTCATGATATAAACACATTTGGTACAATGAATTTAAGGTCATGTAATTATTTCATTGTTTTAAAGTTTTAAGACAAACAAGTTTGGTCTTTATGAATGTACAGATTGTTTCTGGTATTTCTGAAAAACAATATTCAGGGTAGATGGTAAAAAAATAATGACCTAACACATGGACTGACATTAAAATTATTTTTATTCATTTTTAGTGGGGGTAAAGCATGTCTTTTCTGGGAAAATACCATCTTCTTTGCGAAAATATCACTTTTGTTTGCAAGGGAAACAACAAGCATGAAAAAAACATGCCCTTTCAAACCAGTCATGTAATATATCATGTACATCATTTACTTATATATTAGAAAATAATTTTATACATTTTAAATGCTTCAGTTATAGGCTAATAGATTTATTAAAAATTCATATGACAGCTTGGATTTTAAATACCTTAATCATTTAAGTTTTCATATTGTATTTGTAAT